ACTTACATGCATGCACACAGGCACACAGACACACATACACACACACACACACAAAGACGCATGCGTGTGCACACACACACAGGCACACACACATGTATAGATACACATACACACACACACACACACACAATGCACAGACACACACATACATACACACACACACGTGCACAGACATGCACACATACTCACACACACCACACACACTCACACACACACGTGCACACGCACACACACACATGCACAGACAATCACACACCACACACACCACACACACACATTTTAGATTCAGTTCACACAAATACTGAGACGCCCAAAAGGTTCAATCTTCCTCTGGTCACAGCTGAGGACAGTTGATGGGGAGGGAGCTTGACATTGCACTACCCCTGCCCCAGTGAACAGTTCTATCCTTTTCCACCTGCAGGGAATGGAAGAACCTGATCACCTAACCAGAGTGATTTCTTCTGTATCAGAGCTCGTGAAACTGAAGGACACTTCCCTCCTCAGTCTGGAGGTCTCCTGCCTTGTAGCCAATTATCCTGATATCAGGTAACTCTTCCTCCAGGACATATCCAGTACACCAGCCTGGCCCCAATTGTTCCACCTCAAACAGAGGAACTACCGGGACTAGTGATATCAATCTGCCCAGTTGGATCCCAATACTATTTGACGTGTGCACTCCTGATCCAATATGGCTCATTGGTTGGGTGTATGGGTCGGAGTATAAAACCGATAGAGGCCAGCAGATCTTCTTTTGTAGCCTGAGCAGTTAAAATGAAGATCTGAGGGATATTTTGTTCCATGTTTTAAGCATTCCCAATGGAAAGGCAGCCCTTCGTCCTCCGTAAACTGGATGAAATATTCAGTGTGAAGTATTCAATCTACAACTGTGGGCATTGCTGACAGGTCCAGTATGTATTTTACACAGAATTACTTTGGGTATATGGCAGAAAAACAGCCCATTCAGCCCAGCTTGTCCATGCTGGTGTTTATGTTCCATTTGAATTTCCTTCCATCTTTTCTCATTTAAATCTACCATTGTAACCCACCAGTCCCTCTCCCTCAAATGCTTTTCTAGCATCCCTGTGAATGCATCTTTTTTGTTCCCTTCCCCGTCATAGCTAGTTCCACATTCTCTCCATTCAGGTTTCTTCTGAATTCCCTATTGGATTTGGCAGTGCCTACCTTACATGGATGCTAACCCTCGTTGCCCTGGAGAAGTTGGTCTTTAGCCTCCTTGAGTCATTGCAGTATGGCTGAGGAGGGTCGATCTAGTCAGTCACAGCCTCATAAGAAGAGGTGGCATATCTAGAGCTGACGTGAGAAGATGGGCAGGACTTGTACACTTAATGGTAAGGTCCTGGGGAGTGTTGCTGAACAAAGAGACCTTGGGAGTGCAGGTTCATAGTTCCTTGAAAGTGGAGTCGCAGGTAGACAGGATAGAGAAGCAGGCATTTGGTATGCTTGCCTTTATTGGTCAGTACATTCAGTATAGAAATTGGGAGGTCACGTTGCAGCTGTACAGGACTTTGATTAGGCCACTTTTGGAATACTGCGTTCAATTTTGGTGTCCCTGCTATATGCAAGATGTTGTGAAACTTGAAAGGGTTCAGAAAAGATTTGCAAGGATGTTCCCAGAGTTGGAGGGTTTCAGCTATAGAAAGAGGCTGGATAGGCTGGGGATTTTTTCTCTGGACTGTCGGAGGCTGAGGTGTGACCTTATAGAGGTTAATAAAATCATGAGGGACATGGATAGGGTGAATAGTCAAGGTCTTTTCCCCAGGGTGGGGGAGTCCAAAACTAGAGGGCATGGGTTTAAGGTGAGAGGGGAAAGATTTAAAAGGGACCTAAGGGGCAACATTTCCACACGGAGGGTGGTGTGTGTATGGAATGAGCTGCCAGAGGAAAGTAGCGGAGGTTGGTACAATTACAATATTTAAAAGGCATCTTGGTGCGTATATGAATAGGAAGGGTTTAGAGGGATATGGACCAAATGCACGATTTAAATAATACTCTGCCTTTCTGTTTTTGACAGCAAAGTGAACATAGCCTCCTTTTCCTCTCGACTTGTCTAAATTCTTTGACACCATCGATTACGCTATCCTCTAATGATATCCAGAGAATCACTAGCAACAGTTTCTCTTCCTACTCCCAGACTAATTTAGGATATCTGATCGGCATGGACGAGTTGGACCGAAAGGTCTGTTTCTGTGACTCTATGCTTCTTCACCCTATTGTAAACCTTGTGAATTCTCAATGGCAGTGGGCTCTGGATGCTCAGTCACTGTGGAAGGCTCAAATTGATTCATTTTTGGGTATGAGGGAAATTAACCGATCGGGAGAGAGTGCAGGAGGCTGGAGTCGAGGTGGGAGATCAGCCTCAAAGAGCTGATAGGCCAACTCCAGTGCCAATTTGTGACTTTATTATCTGTACTTCACAGAATCACATGACCATCGTAATATCAAGGAAAGGCGCTTGGCCAACCAGTCAGTTTACCCTCTAAAGGAGCACAGTTGAAAGGCAGCCTTGGAACTTAGAAACATCGAAACTAGGAGCAGGAGTAGGCCATTTGGCCCTCCAAGCCTGCTCCACTATTCAGTATGTCATTGGCTGATCCTCTATCTCAATGCCATATTCCCTCTTTCTCCCCTTGATGCCTTTCGATCCAAAAATCTCTTTCTTCAATACATTCAGTGACCTGGCCTCCACTGCTTTCTGTGGTAGAGAATTCCACAGGTTCGCTACCCTCTGAGTGAAGAAGTCTTTCCCAGTCTCAGTCCAAAATGGCCGACCCTGTATCCTAAGGCTGTCTCCCAGGTTCTAGACTCCCCAGCAAAGAAAAACCTCCTCCCTGCATCCAGTCTGTCCAGCCCCGTTTGAATCTTATACATCTCAATCAGATCTCCTCCTTCTAAACCCGAGTGAACGCAGACCCAGTTCAACAAATCTCTCCTCAGATGATAGTCCTGTCCGTCTCGGTATCAGCCTAGTACAGCTTTACTGCACTCCCTCTATGGCAAATATATCCTTTCTTGTGACGGGAGATCAAAACTGTGCACAATCCTCCAGTATGGTCTCATCAAAGCTCTAAGACGTCCCTATGTCTGAACTGAAATCCTCTTGCAATGAAGGCAAATATACCTGAGATAACAAGGTGTAGAGCTGGATGAACACAGCAGGCCAAGCAGCATCATAGGAGCAGGAAGGCTGACGTTTTGGGCCTAGACCCTTCATCAAATATACCTGTTGTCTTCTCAAACTGCTTGCTGTACCTGCCTGTCTACTTTTATTGCCTGATGTACTCAGATCCCTTTGTATATCCACACTTCCCAATATATCACGATTTAAATAATACTCTGCCTTTCTGTTTTTCACAGCAAAGTGAGCATAGCCTCCTTTTCCTCTCGACTTGTCTAAATTCTTTGACACCATTGATTACACTATCCTCTAATGATATCCAGAGAATCACTAGCAACGGTTTCTCTTCCCACTCCCACACTGTTATCTCTGGTATTTGTCAAAGATCGATCTTTAGCCACATCTATTCCTCATTGACATGCAGACCCTTATCTGATTTGGTTTTTACTTGTATGCTAATGATACCCATCTTCACCTGCCCCCCACCTCTTTCAACTTTGCTGCTGTTGCTAAGTTATCGAGGTACATCTGGAACTGATAAGTAGAAAGTTCTGTGCGTTGGGATAGATTGAAGTATTGATTATGGCCCAGTTCTGTAGTATCTTCAGATTTTGCCTATCATCAGCTCATTTGCTGCTGAAACCCTCTCAAGGCTATTCCAAGGCTGGTCTTCCGAGACTCTACCTGCCTGTATCTTCACTCACAGCCAGTCCTATTACCCCATTGGCCCTGAGCTCACTGACCTATACTGGCTCCTGAGCAAGCAAAGCCTTGATTTTCCAATCCTCGTTCATGCTAACACATCCATCTATGGCCTTATCCCTTCCTACCTCGGTAATCTCCACATCCTTCCCCACAGTTGTCTATGCTGCTGCTCCAGTTCTGGCCTGTCACAATACTCCATTTTAATCATTCTACCCTTTGTTGGCTGTGCTCTCAGTGGCCTGGCCATCAGCTCTGGAGTTCCCTCCCTGCACACATCCCCAAACTTTTCTTCACTTTCCTCCTTTAAAGCATTCTTTTACCAAGCCTTTCATTGTCTGGCCTGATTTCTCTTTACGGGGCGTGACTATTTTCTTTCATAATGCTGCTGTGAATCAGGACTGTTAGAGCGGCATGGTGGCTCAGTGGTTAGCACCGCTGCCTCACAGCGCTAGGGTCTTGGATTTGATTCCACCCTCGGGTGACTGTCTGTGTGGAGTTTGCACGTTGTCCCCGTGTCTGAGTGGGTTTCCTCCCACAGTCCAAAGATGTGCAGGTTAGGTGAATGGATTGGCCATGCTAAATTGTCCTGCAGTGTCTAGGGAGGTGTAGGTTAGGTGGATTGGCCATGCTAAATTGTCCTGTAGTGTCTAGGGAGGTGTAGGTTAGGTGGATTAGCCATGCTAAATATGGGGAATAGTGTGGGGAACTGGGTCTGAGTCGGATGCTCTTCGGAGGGTCGGTACAGACTCAGTAGCCTCTTTCTGCACTGTAGATGCCATACAAAAGAAGTTCTTGATGATGAACCTTACATGCAGGAGTTATACCTCGACCCCACCACTTGGTTGCAGCAATGCACCCTTGCAGTGAGGATAGAGCAGTTTGTGGGCAGAAGTGTCTGAATTTGATTTAAAGCCAGACTCCATAGCTGGCTGCCACTCTCTCAGAACCACAGGTCTCTACGGAAATGGTTTATTGTGCATCTGTTTAACCATCCAGAAAATTAGAGAGTGTGGGGCAGTGATTTCCCCCCATCCCAGCCAGATCACTGAGACCACAGAACTGCAGAACTGCTTTTACATGTCCACTCCTTATTAAAATGACTGCCTACAGGAACGTCGAGCAGCAACATGCTGCAAATGTGAACAGTTTGAACCTAAAATGCTGGAAATCCTCAATAAAAACTCAAAGAACTGCGGATGCTGTAAATCAGGAACAAAAACAGAAGTTGCTGGAAAAGCTCAGCAGGTCTGGCAGCATCTGTGAAGAAACAAAATCAGAGTTAACGTTTCGGGTCCAGTGACCCTTCCTCAGAACTGATTGGGAAGCATTCCCCATTGATTGGGAAGCAGACATTTACAATTATTGTCAACAGAAGGAATGACAATATGAAGCAGATCTTTTTCACACAGCAAGAGGTTAGAATCTAGAAGGCACTTTCTGAGAGTGTGGTTGCGGTAGGGTCAATCAAGGCTTTCCAAAGGAAATTTGTTCATTTGCAGAAAGGGCAACATTGAAAAAGCGCAAAATGGTACAAGGCAATCACTCCAGCAGAGGGCCAGCACAGACACAATGGGCCAAATGACCTCCTTCTGTCCTTTAACCCGTCTATAATTCCCTGGCCTTTCATCAGAACTGAAAGATGTGAGAAATGTTAACAGTTTTTAAGCAAATAATTAGCAGGGAAACGGGTGAGGTCAGAGAGCTGGGAGCAGGGCGGGTCAAAAGGGGAACGATTGGCACGGCATATAACCTCTTCTCTTGAAGTAGATTCAGAATATTCTCGAATTTTGCAGCACAAAAGGAGGCGATTTGGCCCATCGTTACCCGTTCTGGCCCTTTGAAAGAGTTACCAAATAATCCCCCTGCCCTCAGCCTCCCAACTGAACACTGGATTTCGCAAATGAACTCGGAAAATGCTGGAGAAGCTCAGCAGGTCTGGCAGCACCTGTGGAGAGACAGAGTTAACATTTCAAGTCCTTCAGAACAATAGATCCCTCCTTCTGCAGTTGTAATTCTCCGATTCCTCTTTGCTGCTTTTTACTCTCAAACCCAAAAACAATTTCTCCCCATCTCTTTTCTCAAAACAATAATATTGGACGCAATATCAGATTGTGTCTGTGAATCTACCCGTGAAGAATAGTGAAAGGATTTTCAAGCTGATTTTATTTAATATATTTCTTCATGGGATTTGGGCATTGCTGGCCATGCCATCATTAAATGCCCATCCGTAATTAAGGAGGACAAAAATTATTGGCCTAACCAACGGTGCCCACTTTCAGTGAATAAAGAGGAAATGCCCAGAGGGCAGTTACAAGTCATTTATTGTCCATCCCTAATTGCCCAGAGGGCAGTTCAGAGTCAGCCACATTGCTGTGGGTCTGGCGTCACATATAGGCCAGACCAGGTAAAGATGGCAGTTTCCTTCCCTGAAGGACATTAATGAACCAGATGGGTTTTTATTAATAATGCCACAGGCTGTGTTATGAACATTCCTTTTGAGACTGTAACTATCATTGCACCAGCCAGTATGGAAAGCAATCATGCATATGATGGTTTTATGGCCTTCCATATTCCATACAGTGATGTCTATCCATGCCGACCCAGATGACAAAACAGAATTCAGGATCTCAGCTCTTTGAGGGAACCATGTGGGAGTTGGAAATGCAAAGTTTGGTGACATAGTCCGGGGGACGAAGTATGCGAGACCACTTTGTGGCTCAGCTTCTTCTCAGTGACCATGGGGTTTTAAAAAAAAAAGCCACGAGGTCTGGGCATGGGAAGATGACAGGTATACTGCGGATCCTCATTTCCCATTGGGCAGAGCCGCTGAAGAATAGATCCAGATCCCCAGATTGCCCAATTGTGTGCCCAGTCAGTCAATCCAGGAGCTGTAAGGTTGTACAGGACATTGAAGTGGCCTCTTCTGGAGTACTGTGCCCAGTTCTGGTTCCCCTGTTATAGGAAGGATATTATTAAGACTGAGAGGGTTTAGAAGAGATTTACCAGGATGTTGCTGGGTATGGAAGGTTTGAATTAGGGTGGATAGGCTGGGACATTTTTTATTGGAGCATAGTAGATTGAGCGGTAACCTATAAAATCATGAAGGGTATAGATGAGGTTAAAGGAAGTTGTCTTTCCCCTAAGATAGGGGATTTCAAGACCAGGAGGCGCATTTTTAAGGTGAGAGGAGAAAGATTTAAAAAAGACTTGATGGGCAATTTTTTTACACAGAGAGTGGTTCGTGTGTGGAGTGAACTTCCAGAGGAAGTAGTGGATGTGGGTACAGTTACAACATTTAAAGGTCACTCAGATAAGTACCTGAACAAGAAATGTTTGGAGGGATATGGGCCAGGGGCAGGCAGGTGGGACTAGTTTAGTTTGGGATTATGTTCGGCATGGACTGGTTTGGACCGAAGGGTCTGTTTCTGTGCTGTGTGGCTCTATGACTGTATCATTGGCAGGAACAGAGTTCAGGCTTTGAAATGGAAGAGAGGGAAGGTGTCCCCTTTAATTAACTAGGGTTGATGTCACAAGGATTTGTGGACCCCATATTTGGAGGGCACTCAGAGGAGAAACATCATCAGAAAAATTGAGTCCAAGCACTTTTGTTTAGTGAGAGATTATCAAGGGGCATTCAAGAGGGCACTGAATAATGGGCATAGGGGAAAAGGCTATAAGTGATGCCAGGAAAAAGCAGGAGACCGGCACTGGGTAATGATGCTCATCCGAAGAGCCAGTGCAGGCACAATGTGCCATAACACTTCTGTGATTCTGTGCAGTGGCCGTTTTCAGGATTTGTTTACTTTCTAGACGATTTCCTGCTTTTCAAATTTGTCCATTCCCCGTGCCCCTCCCGGGTCTGGCTCATTGACAACTGGTGATTGGCTCTGATGATGGCAGTATGAGATGGCGCAGGAAGTGATACTGTGACCAATAGGAAGCAAGCAGGGGAGGACGGAGAGAAATGCTAATAAACTCCATCTTGGGAAAGTGTGTAAAGTAACATGAGGCCATTGGGTACTGAGTCACTCCCTAAATGTCACCACCGCCATTTTCAACTGAATGTGTTATGAATCTCAATCGGTACTGCAAATTGTAAATAATGTTATTTTATAGACAGGAATATTCCGTTATGAAAGAGTAGATAGACATGCTCTGTCTTTAAGGGTCTAAGGTTCATGAGTTCACCCAGAACCTTGGAAATGGATGAGAACCCTGGCATTGATTGACAGGTCATTTAAAGTAACATTGGAGATGTCTTTGGACAGAGAGATCTGGAAACTGGGTGACTGCTTCGCAGAACATCTATGTTCTGCCCGCAGAAAAGACCCTGAGCTTCCACTTGCCTGCCACTTTAACCCACCACCCTGTTCCCTGGCCAACATCTCTGTCTCAGGCTTGCTGCAGTGTTCCAGCGAAGCTCAATGCAGGCTGGACAAACAACAGCTCATTTTGCACATGGGGACCCTGCAGCCCTCTGGACTGAATATCGAGTTCAATAATTGTAGGGCCTGAACTCTCCCATGTCCTAGCCCCCTACCCCACACACCAGGCCTTGTTATCACAGCCTGCCATTACACACTGTATGATGTTACTCACTAACGGTCCCCATTAACAGGTACAATCCTCCTAGCTAGATCACTATTGACTCCTTTGTCTATCCAACTGCTCTTCTCTCTCTTCGAGCTCTATCCTTTATCCTATTGTTTACTCCCTATCCCATTCCCCCCCCTATTTTCTGCATATAAACCGCCGTTTTCCCAGCTACCATCAGTTCTGAGGAAGGGTCACTAGACCCGAAACGTTAACTCTGATTTTCTTCTTCGCAGATGCTGCCAGACCTGCTGAGCTTTTCCAGCAACTTCTGTTTTTGTTTCTGAAACCTGTGCAACTGTTTGTGATCATCTCCTGTAAAGTAGCTGTTATCTCAGAAGGGCTTTTGTGGTGCCATGGTATATGTCCTCACCTCCTAAGCCAGGAGTCCTGGGTTCAAGCCTCACCTGCTCCAATGGATAACAAATCTGAGTAGGTTTATATTTTTTTAAAATAGGAGATGTTGTTTAAACACTCCTTACATCTAATATGGTGCAAAGTTTAATTTGACTCGGATGTATTGCAATATAGGTTTGCTTAAATGTGGGTTCATCACAAATTTAACTCAGATTAAAGGTGACATTAGGATTTAGGTCTGTCGTTAGTTTAAGCTGGAGATGCCAAGTCATGCTTTACCTGCGTGAAAATCCAGATCCAGGGGAACTGAGGTTAAATGCTAGATCGTGATGAATGATACCAATGAAATCCAGACTGGCAGCTATTACTGGCATCTGTATGGGTACAGGAAGGGTTTAAAGTGATATGGGCCAAATGCTGGCGAATGGGACTAGATTAATGTAGGATATCTGGTCAGTATGGACGAGTTGGACTGAAGGGTCTGTTTCTGTGCTGGACATCTCTATGACTGATTTGGGAAGGCTACTTCTGTTCTTGAATAACATGATGATTTCCTGATTTTCTTTTGCCAGTGACGAGCATGTTTCAGCCCTGCTGGATATTCGGGGCGACGTGTCCAAAGACATCCGTGGGACGGTGCTGGAGATGTTGGAGCAGAACTCCCAGCCTGCCCCCGAAGACTACCAGCCCATCTTCTCTGAGATCCTGGTGCCAGCTCCCGTCCTCCCCTTCTGCCTGCCTGCTGTCAAATGCGGATAAGGCCCCAAACCACCTCCCCAACAACCCCTTCACCCCACCCACCTCCTCACATCTCACCAAGGACCCCAGGGTGGAGTAAGAGGTCACCTGACAATTGCCCATGTGAGACCGTCTTTCTGTCCACAGTCCGACTGTGCAATGGATACTGGAGGCTAACTTGGCGGAAGGTGTCCAAATTAAGTAGGCAGACCATGTTGCTGTCCAGGTTAGTGAGCCCCTGGTGTTCAAGCATCTGATTTTCCTCCCCTATCCCCACCCAAACAAACACTTATCTCTCATATTTGCAGAGGAATGAAACCTGTTCCTGTCAACTTCCTCCCTCCAAAGTATGGCTGACATGCCACAGTCCCACACAGAGTGAATGTTTTGGCAGGTTCCCGCTACTATTTGCCAGACGTTGTGTCCTCTGTAGGAGAGAGGAATATCAGTAAAGAGTCACACTTGACTACCCAGCTGAAAATTCCACCAAGGGTTGTTGTCAGAGGACTGGGCTCTAGGGGATTACCTGCCACCAGACCAAATACAAACCACATGCTCGCTCCTGGGAGAGAAGGAAATGCTTATCAAGCTCAGGACAGCTCGTAAATGTCACATCCATCTTTCATCAGTTTATTCTCAACACTGGAGCTTCCTGCCCAAGGGAGTTCTGAGCTTACAATCCTCCCATGCAACCCCAAATTGACAAATTATTTACACTTTCATGGGATGAGGGCCTCGCTGGCAAGGCCAGAAATTTATTGCCCATCCTTAATCGCCCTCGAACTAGGTCATTTCAGAGAGTCACTGCTGGAGTTACATGTGGTCCAGACCAGATAAGGATGGCAGATTTCCTTCACTAAAGGGTACCAGTGAACCAAATGGGTTTTTGCAACAATCGATGATAGTTTCATGGTCACCAGCTTTACATTCCAGATTTATTAACAACTTAAATTCCATCAGATGCCATGAGGTGATTGGAACCCATGTTCCCCAGAGCATTAGCCTATGATTCCAAGTGACATTACCACGAAGCCACCACATCTCCACTCAACCCTGGAAACCATTTTCAAAGGCCCCTTCCCTCAGGTGGCCAGAGAGAGTGCCTGCTTTGAACTGCAGGTCAGGAACCTGATTGGAATTTTGAGGAATTGTGGGTGGATCCTGGTGACTGCAGTGAAAGAAAACGGCCAGGGAAACTTGCGGTATTAAATTCACGGAGCCAGGAATGGTGGGTGTGGGTTATGGAGTGGGAGTGGGCCGGGCAGGCCTTTGTGAGACTGGGACACCCTCACCTTGCCCTCATCTTTTTCACCCCACGACGTAAAATCCCATTTTTGTCCCCGGCCTAGAATTGGCAAGTCACTGTAGGGTGCCCTGTCAGGGAATGTAGCTGGACTGACCAGATTTCAACTAGACCCAAGCTGTGAATACTGCCTTGGCAGCTGGGTGGTGCCCCCACCCTGCCATTCTGTCAGGTCAACCACTGAAATTGAAAGTGGCCCCCTGGTTAATGACACTGGGGTTCATGCTGATCCCTCACAACTCAGGCTTTTAACTATAACCGGAGGCTTCGGCCTGTATCAGGCAACAGACCTCACCAACACCCTCCCACCAACCATCCTGCAGGAACAACAATGTGTCTGAGTAGGGAGATTACATTGGTAAGGCTAATGACGTGGACATAGATATCAATAAATGGTATGTTAACTCAAAAAAGGCCTCCCAACTGATTTCATTGAGCAGATCACCCTATGCATCAAAACCAGAGCCCGGTCCATATGCCACCAAGGGATGTGGGATCACATGGGATTGAATAGACCCCTCTTTAAAGTCCAACTCCAATACAATCCCGTCTTTGTCCAGTAAAAAAACTTGTACAAATCATTGGTGCAGTTCGCTACACACTCTCTGTTGCAGAGCAAGAGAACAGCAGGGTCTTTATTTTCACTGAAGGACCAGCCTCACTGTGCACCGAAAATCACACACTGCACTCAGTCACCACTTCCTAGCCACAGTGAGCTCTGTTTCCCGGTGATTCCTCGAGGGTTACCAATGTAGTTGTGACCTCTTAGCACATTAAGCAGTGGGACCTGCTTGTGTCTCTGTATTCAACTCCATCCGGCCGTGTTGCTGAATCAACAGAGGGGGCAATTAGGCAGAAACTGCTGGAAGAGCTCAGCAGGTCAGGCAGCATCTGTGGAGAGAAAGCAGAGTTAAACCTTTCCAGGCCCAGTGACCCTTCTTCAGAAGGGCTATCCTCAGGGGCGTTAATGTAGGCAGAATGAACTCTTCAACAGTGCTGAGAGGTTTAGCAGCGAACTGACTGGTCCGGCAGATGGAATAGTTCGCAGAATCCTTTCATTGCAGGTAGGGGCCATTCAGCCCATTGAGTCCACTCTGACACTCTGAAAAGCATCTCACCCAAACCCACTCCCCCTACCCTAACTGTGCATTTCCCATAGTTAACATACCTAGCCTGAACATCCCTGCACACTATGGGGCAATTTAGCATAGCCAACCCACCTAACTTACACATCTTTGGACTGTGGGAGGAAACCGGAGCACCCAGAGGAAACCCACGCAGACACGGGGAGAATGTGCAAACTCCACACAGACAGTCGCCTGAGGGTGGAATTGAACCTGGGTCCCTGGTGCTGTTAGGCAGCAGTGCTAACCACTGAGCCATCATGCCATCAACTTTGAAGCAGAAGTATTGTACTAATCTGACGTTGACTGGATGTAAATGGGCTTTGTAATTCACATCAGATCCCATGTAAATTGGATAGTATTTGTTAATCCTCATGACCTGCAGGTTGAAAGCCAGGATCTAAATTTCCCAATCGAAATGATAATCGATCTAGAAAGAATGAGTTGCATTTGTATATCACCTTCCTCAATCTCAGGATGCTCCAAAGGGTTTTACAATGAAATACTCTTTCAAAGTATGTCTACTCGTGTTATGTAGGAAAATCAGCAGCCTATTTACGGACAGCGAGCTCCCATTACTGTGCAATGGGACGATGACTAGATCGAACGCGTTAGTTGAAGTATTAAAACGGGCCAAAGCACCAGGGCGACCTCTCATAGATTTCTTTGAGATGGTACCATGGGAAATTTGGAGTCTCAGTACCTGAGTCTCAGTTTCATGTTTCATCCAGAGACAGTATCTTCAACAGTGCGGCAGTCCCTCAGCCCCTCACTAAAGTGTCAGCCAGGACTTTTGTGCGTAAGTCATCAGAATAATGTTCGCACTCACAAGCTGCTGACTCAGAGGCCACCAGCAAAGTCCTGGCTGGCATACTCCATGGTTAGTCACAGGAAATGCACCTTCAGATTCCTGAACCTGAGGTTTGCATCCACCACACTAGCTACATCGCACAAGAAATCCTGAAACTGATTCAGGATCCTCTATGCAAGAGTGCCATTTTTTTTCCACCAAGGCATGTACAATCGAATCTGTCATGGGCTGTATGTCTCTACAGTTCTCCAAAGCCTATTTTGTACAGGTGCTTGTTGAATTTTAGCTGTTCAGGTATCAGTGAGCCAGCTCCCAGTGTTAAGTCTCGATCGTCAATGTTGTTACCCCATTTATTTTACCCTGGGAGCCCCATTTGGCTCTTCAAGCCCTCAGCAGCTAGCAAGGATTGTATCGCCAGCTCTCTACTCACAGTCTCCAAGAATCAAAACTAAATTAGTGCCCTGTCTAACGGCAGCTCATCCCTAAACTTGGAAAATGCTTTCAGGAAAATCTCGAATGATTACAGGGAACCAACAGGCTAACTTCCTCATTCACCTTTTCCACAATCCAGGAATACCCGGGCCAACTGTTGTAAATGTTCAGCTCAGAGACACTTTGGCTGAGTTCCGATCCCTGACAAATACTGCCTGAAATAAAAAGACGATGGACTGCAACACTCATAGTGTGACTGGTCTCTAACAGATTGAAGGGAATGTGTTCTGCTCATCATTGACTGCCTCATACAGTCTGTAAAAAGACATGCTTGTATTTGTGATGGTCAGATTTTTAATTACATTATTAGGAGAATCAAGAATGACATCCTGGAACTTCTTGCCTGGTACTTATTTGCTGAGGTCATAGCTTCTGCCTGAAGCTACCTCTCCCAATTATTTCCCTCTTGTGCCAGGGAGAGGAAAATTGCACTCAGCTCCAGTCTCCTGCCTTCTACCCCCGACCATGCACATTGCTCCCTTACTTTTCGAACACCTTGATTGACCCTGCTTCCGCCACACCCCAGCCAGTGCATTCCAGATCTTAACCACTCACAAGTTCTCTTCGGTCACTTTTGCTTCTTCTGCAAATGAAGTCTACACCCTCTTGACTTCGTATCCCTTGATCTAATACCTCACTAGCAAATGGCAATTGGTCAAGGGTGAAAATGTCTCCCAATCTACGTGTAATTTTCAAAACTTCTTTCAGATCTCCTCTCCTAGGACAACAGTCTCAATGTGTCCAACCCATCTGAGTAACAGTAACTGAAGCATATCATAAATCTCTTCTACACCCTCTCTAGTGCCTTGATAGTTTTGGGAATTTCTTCATTTTGCACGTTCAACCATATACCTTCAAAGGCATTTATTAACTTCCCTTTAAAGTGCCAAATTCTTTTTCCCAGAGTAGGGAAGTCCAGAACTAAAGGTCATAGGTTTAAGGTGAGGGGGAAAGATTTAAAACAGACTAAGGGGCAACTTTTTCATGCAGAGGGTGGTGTGTTTCTGGAACGAGCTGCCAGAGGGAGTGTTGGAGGCTGGTACAATTACAACATTCAAAAGGCATCTTGAAGGGTACATGAATAGGAAGGGTTTAGAGGGATATGGGCCAAATCCTGGCAAATGGGACTAGATTAATTTAGGATATCTGGTCGGCAATGGACGAGTTGAACCAAAGGGTCTGTTTCCTTGCTGCACAGCTCTATGACTCTGTGACTATGCTGCTGCATAACAATGTGAGCTAATGTCTGTGTACGTGTAAGGGTGTGTCGTACATGTGCGAGTGCAAGGTTTCTTTAGTTTCTGCCGTTGTGTGTGTTTCTAACTGTGGTTGCATCTGCGTGTGTGCATTTTGTGTATGTCTGTATGAGGCAGTATGTGCATTTGTGTGTGCAAGTGTGTCTGTGTTCTGGGGGGGTAGGTAGTTTGAGTTGTAACCTCAGAGGTTGGAAACAGGAACTGCATTTGTTTTTGGATCTTCCTATTGATTCCGATGTTTTGTTTTGTGTGGTGGTAAACAAACATGGGAGGGCAGGTGGTGGTGTAGATGTAGGAGCAGTAGGTGGTCCACAGGCCCTTTTGCCTCACTTAAGTGCTCCCCAGATGAAAAGATACAAACATCAGTGCTCGATTCAGAAAAACTCACAGGAGAGCTGCCTGTCGTAGAAGGAGGTATCTGGGCCCCCGAACCCTAAAGCAGGAAAAGTTAATGAGGAGGTGGTGAATTAAAGACTGAAACTACATAGCTATTTTTCAACTTATTCATTCATGAAATTTGTAACAAACATTACAAAGCATTTCAACTTGAATACTAAAGAATTTGCAATAAAAGTTAACCTGGCTCTGTCCTGCACTTGTTGGCAGTTTTGGTCCCCTAGTCTGAGGAAGGATATTCGTGCTACTGAGGGAGCCCAGCGAAGGTTCACCAGACTGATTCCCGGGATGGCAGGACTGACACATGAGGAAAGACTGGATCGACTGGGCTTGTACTCGCTGGAATTTAGAAGAATGAGGAGGGGATCTTATAGAAACATATAAAATCATGATGGGACTGGACAGGCTAGATGTGGG